CTTAGACATTAAATTAAGTGGATCAGTTGATGTTTTTAAATCTAGATTGAAAACTTATCTTTTTAGACTCGCTTTCAGTTGACTTTTTGTTTTGGTGCTATTGTTAGTTATTTTCTTTTTTGATTGTAAAGCGATATAGAGCTTTTGTATATACCGCTATACAAATAAAGTTATTATTATTATTAATGAAATACAGCTGCTAGCAAGATTGTTCTGTAATTCGTGGCTGGTTTGTTTATTGCGCTGTTTGTTGACAAATGCACCGCTTGTCAAAGTCATTGGAAATCCGATTTCGGATGGCATCGTTTTCAAAAATGAGCTTACTCACTTGCCCTTGCTTGAGGCGTAAGAACGTTGAAAAGTCTCAAGCGATTCTGGAACACTTGATGACCTTCAGAAGCAGCATCTCGACTGGTAAGCTTGAGCCATTATTGTTTTTGACGTTTTTTTTTTTTCGGTTTCCTGAAGTCGAGCGTATGGTTTATATTATGCGGCACGAGCAATGATCTAACCTACAAAAGGAAACAGGTTTAAAAAGCCTTTAGACATTTTTTGACCCGCACATTCAAAGAAAAGGTTCCGAAGATTATTTAGTTATGATTTTGGCTGTAAACAGAAAGCTCTGAGCGATTTTCTTGCCTCGAGTTCATCTTGAAAAAGAGCGAACACCGGGAAGCCGGCTTAAAACATAAATAAGCTTATGCTTGCCTGACTCATGATTTTCTGAGACACTTTCCTCTCAATACTTCTCTTCGTGAATGAAAATTATTGTCTCTGTACATGTTTCACCGAATTAAACTTATTTTATTGATTGTTAGTAGTCCCTCTCGCAATTTTCATCGCTGCACCGGTTGTTTCCAGTCCAACATAAGCATCGCATGTAGGAATACTCAAAACGCCGCGCGTAAATATCACTCGCTTTTCAAGATTACACAACAAAATCATACACAGTTTAATGAATATCTATAAAAGGGAAATAAAACCTAAACATAACAATTTCTCTATCATGTTGAAGCGTAAATGGTAACTCTATTAATCGTACTGCAAATTTGGTGCCTGTCAAAAGTGAGAACCCGTCCGGCTGGCCGAAAAGTGATTTTGGGATTTTTTTTATCGTTTTCATTAAAACAGGGGCACCCAACGACAATTTTCCGAAAAATATCTGTTCGGAAGACGATTTGAGATCTAGAATTTTCGAAACATTTGTTGTAAAATTTCTTGCCTGCCTGCCTCTCCTAGGATTTTCGAACATCTTAAAAATGGTATAATTGCATATTTTTAACGGATTTTTACCCTAAAAAGGTCACCTAGAATTTTCGGGAGCCTTTTTTCTGGCTGAGATTTTCGAAAAGGTAAGTTTTGATCCCTATAATTCTCGGATCACTAGACTTTCAGCTAGGAAATCCGAACAGATGAAAAATTTTTAGGGGACAAAAATATGCCTTTATCTACCGTGTAAATACTAAAATACGTTTAACAATGCTATGTTTAAGTGCTTTTGAACTATATTCTCGTTGGGTGCCCCTGTTAAAAGCCCATAATTATCACATAGGACCAGATTTTTCTAACAGAAAACGTTTTATAATTCAATGCTATAATTTGTTGTGCAAAGGAAGCGCGTGCTTTGATCGTCGTGGATATTGAATGAGTGCAAATTCTCTTGCAAAATTGTGAAAAACTGCAGTATTATAAGTTTAAATAGGGCAAAAAAGAACAAATTCTGTCCGAGGTCTGTGTACTGTTTACCTGAGAAGTGATGAGAAAAAGTATGTTTAAAAGGCTGGTTTACACGCCACCAGATTCGTCGCCAAGATTTACTAGTAAACTAAACTTGTCGAACACAAAAATTCCGGCCTGATTTTTATTTTGGCCTTTCTTTTAGACAGAGGAATGCAACGTGTAAATTGGCTGCCACCAAGGACTATCGTGGCGCATGTGTTTCTTAAAATTATATTTCGGGGTTGTCCAATTATCCATAGTCTCTCTAACGGAGCAATGTTGGAGAGACTGGTGAATGCCATATTATGATGATACAGCTAATGCAAATACAATACACGAATAGGTCTATTTGTTTTCCAGGCCTAATCTACTGTGATCGAACATAATTTCTATTTTTCGGTGTACAAATAACTTGATGTAAAATTTGTTTCACTCTTGGACGGTCGAATTCTGATTTTTCTCTAAAATCACTCAGCCTTTGCCTCAAAAGTCAAATGAACGTGCCCTGATCTGTGCATTACAAGTTTATTGTTTGATTTAAATTATGAATTTATTAACGGGAGCTTCGCTTTTAGCCCTGGCTAAATCTATATATTATCCTGTTCAATGTTAAGTCGGTTGGTTTTTCATTTAGAGACGCTTTGTGGTTTTCGCAGTGATTTTGTTTATGCGAAGTTTTATGAGATCAATATTATAATTCGACCTCCTTGCTAATTTCACCGTCAAGTGTAATGATTCTGTTAGCTTTTCTTTCTTGTTTCCTTGTTTCCTTTTTTCTTTGTTAAGGACCAAATAGCTTCTTTTCAATTAAAGGAAATTGTTGTGTTTTTGAACTAAGTGTTCCGTATGTTACCCTAAAATCGAGATTTCTTATTTTAAGAAAAAATTTAAAACTAATCACTGAATAAGATTTTGTTCTCCTAAATTCAAATCTACCTGTTTAAATTACAGAAAAAAGAGTTCTTATCCTATGATTTGTTTTAAATTATCGTAAAATAAGAAAACGTTTTCTTAAATTGAGAGATGTGTATTTATCTCTTTGCGTGATTGCGACCGAGTTTGATTATTGAATTACAATAGGTTCAGAGTTATTCACTACTGCATGCAGTTGATGGTTTGAACGTTTAACGTGAATTACGATCGAAAAGAGAAAAGCAATTCTGTATCCTGTAGACATTTCCACACGATATTTCTTCGTTTGCCACTTGAAAATCGTGCTTTACTTTTTGTATGAATTAAAGCAAAGTAGTAGTGACGGCACTGACGGCCGGTCGATTCAGACGTCACTGAGGGAGCTAATAACGACTCGAAGTAATCGGATGAAATTCAGGCTAATTAAAAGGCTTCCTACAAAACAAACAAAAACAAAATATAATAATAAAAAAAAAACAGAACGACACTAGGCCTATACATTAATTACTCTTTTCTCAAGTTTGATTCGTAGCACTGAGGTGGTCAAACTATCAAAACATTTTTGTGTTAAAACAAGAAAGCCTTTTTTTCGTTTATTTATTATATTTTTATTAATTTTCTGGGCGCTTATTGTAGTAGGCAACTCGTGTTGATAATCATGTTTTCGTAGTGCTGCTAGCCTGAGATCGCTATGATCCTTCTATGTCCAGAAATAGTTATGTACCCTCAACAGAAAGACACCCGATCTAGTTAAAGTAGCAAGTAAAGAGCATAAACGAAAGGACAGCATTTTTTTAGTGTAACCGCCATTTTATTTTTGATTTTAATTAAACTATTTTCAATCTAAATCAGCTTCATTTGACAAACAATTCTTACTACAAGAAGTGCGCAACCCATCCTTGCCCAAAATCGTTTCTTAGTTTTGATTTATGTCGTGTTATTTAGGTTATTTAATGGCATTACAGCAAAGTGCTCTACTATAACAGGGACCGCGCAGAGGGAGGGGCTGGGGGGGCTTTAGCCCCCCCACTTTTTTGCAAGAATAAAAATAAATTAAACAAAAAATAATGTAACAAAAGTAACGAAGTGAAAAATAGCAAAAAATCGTTAATTCGAAAGTGACCAGAGTTACTGGCAAAGACAAACGCGCAGATAAATAGACAGAATAAAGCATTAGTCGTTACAAGTGTAAAATATTTTTTCGCTTCTAACCTAGCAGAGGTAAACGTCTTTTAAATGGCTTCTTTTTCCTGCGGACCTCTCAGGAAAACGCGTTGTTTCGTAATTGGTCAATTTCGATCCAAAGTAATAACTGGGTTTAGTTTATAAGGCGATTCTCAAACAAATTGTTTATTAGTTTCAACCTTGATTTTTGGAAGATCATGAAGTTATTGTTTCTCTTGTTATTGTGCGTCCTGATTTTAGCTCGATCGGCGTGAAGTCCGTCTTTTGATGTCAGGCTTCACGGCTCGTTGAGCATTCCAGTTGCAAGTTTTGTTGAACGCGGTCTGTTTATAAAAAACATTTTGTCATCGAAAGTACTTAAACCGCAGAATTGTGTATACAGTGTATAGCTCTGGTCATCAAGGAACATTCAATCCGGCGGTTATTACGAACAAAGAAGTGCACATGGTACACGGGAACATAAATGCGAACGACGAGACTTCACATACCACTAGTAATGCAAAGAAGAGATCTCTTAAAATTTCTGATTACTTTTCCAAACAAAATGGAAAACCTTCTTTATCTGGTGAGTAAACTCTGCATAATTTTTGCTACTTTTTTCTGAATCTGTTCTATAATTGAATTTTCATTCACTAAATTATTTTCAGTTACCGTTTTGTTTTGGCGTGTAAATATTTTGAATGAATAATTAAACAATTATTGAACTCGGCTTTCGTATTATATGAAGATATACAGATCTCAGAGGGTGTTATCCACCGGGCTCAAGCCTTCGGCTTTGGCGGATAACCCCCTCGATCTGCATAACTCTTCATATCATACTCAGCCTCGTGCAATAATTGCTCAGTAATTATACAGCCTTGAGTTTAAGGCAGCTCAAGCAAAATCGTTGGATTTCTGGCTTATTTATAGTAATTAAAGGTTGATATCAGTAGTATAACATAACAATCTATGATATTTCAATTTAGTGATGGTGAATTTTCAGACCCGATAGCAACATCACTGAAGATGTGGAAAAAAATCAATAGTTTTATCGTTATTCGCATTCTCCGTCACTGTAGAGAAATTGAATAGAAACCACAAGCATGCCGCCCCCCCCAAAATTTTCCTTCACGCATTCTTCGTTAGCCCCCCCACTCGAAAACTTGCTGCGCGGTCCCTGCTATATTTGACTCAAGGGACGCAAGTCACCCAATTTGCTTTTTCTTGCAAAGGATAACTGGAGCGTACTTCCAATGCTTTGCCGGATCGAGATCGCAAGGTATGTCGTTCCACTTGCCTCCTTGGCGGTGTGCCGAGCCCAACATGTTTCCACACTTTTCGTTCACGCTGTTTGGTTCGCCGCGTGCCCAAGCCGTGTAACCTTTTGCCAGTGGAGTGTCATCAATCCAGTAGAACTTGTTGTCCGCCTTGCGGACCAAACCAAGCCACACACCCCGATCGGTGATGGTTTTCTGTTTCTTTAATAAGGTGAATATGAAGTTATTCTCATCCGCTGATTTTATTATGGCGAGGTCTCCTCCAAGCATCTGACATGTTCGTCGAGCATCGCTCCATTTTAGGGTTCGAATGTCGATGATGAGGTAGCCGAAGTTTCCGTAGCGGACCCAACCATCTTGCGGCCAAACTGAAAGTAAGAAAATTTTTCAGTTGATTAATAATCCTCAAACATTAAGTCGCTCTAATAATAAGCCTCGAACAATTAGTCGCTTCTTTAGTTAACTAAAAGTTTGATTAAATTGCAAGAGTTTACACCTTTAGCGCACTGTAATTTTCAGGGAGTTCTAATAACTCCTCTAGTGGGGTTAATTTAACTCCTTACAGTGGAGTTATTTTTCGTGGGGTTATTTTAACTCCAAAAAGGAGTTTAAGGAACTCTTTTTCAGGAGTAAAAGTGACCCCAGGTATTGAGGAGTTAAAATAACCCCAAAAAAGGAGTTACACTGTATCTAAAATTTTTACTCCACTTTCAGAGTTAAAGTAACTCCAAAAAGAGTAAAAACAACCCCTGTAAGGAGTACAAGTAACCCCATTTCGGAGTAATTTTAACTCCAGACTGGGAGTAAAAAGAACTCTTTTTCAGGAGTAAAAATGACCCCAAATTCGGAGTTAAATTAGGAGTTAAAATAACCCCCAAAAAGGGGTTATCCTGTACCTAAAATTTTTACTCCATTTTTGGAGTTATAATAACTCCCTAAAAATTACGGTGCGCTTGTCGATTTCTGGTATAGGTAGTCAATTTCGTACTTCATCTCGGTTAGCAGTTTTCGATCAGCTTTTTCTAGGCCCCAGTTGTTGATGTTAAATGTTTGATTGATCGGTTGAGGCTTTTTGTGAACTGTAAGCGCCGGTGATTTTGTGAAATCGGAAGTTTTAGGTTTGCCTTTAGCAAAAGTGCTTGAAAGAAGGATAAAAACAATGACGATGAAACTCGATTTTCCAAACATGGTTGAAGTCCTCTCGGATCCAAAAAAGTGTGAAACCTTTTCGTGTAAACCTCGAGAAATGAAAGTCAACTTTTGTTGAGTAAGTCTACTTGATGAATCATCAGTATGTCTAGGCTTTTATGGTCCTCGCTGACTCTTAACAAGAACAAATTTCGCGTCGCAGCTTATCAAAACAATGATTGCGGTGCTAAAAACAGATTCAGTTATAGATAGTCAATAGAAATTCAGTCTACTGTAATCCTCATATGGATGAGATGTTGAAATGTATCGGGGCAGTATAGGCCTCATATCCTGTGCTAAACTTACTAGAAATTGCCACGATATGTTTAAGTCTATTTTTAAAAGTTGTTTTTTTAACAATGCTCTTAAAACGAAAACACTTTAACACTTTAACACTTTTATTTACTAAAATGTACAGATTGAAGCGACTTTCAGGACTTTGCCAGCAGGGTATTTGGATTGTTATTGTGCTTTCAAAGTTAAATACAGATTAACTACAGAGCAGTCATTTAGTGGCGACCGCATAATTTTGTAAATTTGTATTAAACTTACACTCGACCGTTACTTACCATAAGAAAGCCGATCCGATCCGTCGATACTAAAATGCGCAGATCCAAGCTACTCTGCTAGAAGGGTAGTTGGATTGTTATTGTACATTCAAAAGTTGTGTACAGATTAACTACAAAACAGTCATTCAGGGGCGACCGCATTTTTTTTTCAAATTCATATGAAACTTACTCGACCGTTATGTATAATAAGCAACCCCATACGTTGAGTCTTAAGAATTTTTACATGGCTATTGCATTCTTTTCTGTTGTTGGTTTTCCGTGTTCGATAGGAACTATTATATAAAGAAGGTGTAGCTAAGCTTACTACAGGCCGGGAAAAAATTCGTCAAACAGCGACGATTGAAGTCGTGTGTACGTGTATCACACAGCCCAATTTACCGCGGCACACGCCGTGAAGGATAAAAAGGCTGCTTATTTTTACAGTAAAAAATCTATTCGCTCTCCAAAACACAGATATCTTAGTAACACACAATACCAAAATGGACAAGCAATAAAACTCTTGACTATCGCAGCGATAGAGTTGAATTTTATGAAAGAATCGTGGAATTTGTGAGAAAAGAGTTCTAAACGTTTTCTTCTGAAACGATTCGTTGAGTTTTTGGGTTGTGTCCATGCCCAGTTGTTGTGTCTATACCCTGCGAATTTCCATTCGCACTTCCAGTTGTAGATAGTCTCTCTTATTTTGTTGTTTGAATTTGCACAACTCCAAATTTCAAAATCAAAACGGTTTTGACACGGCCTGGCAAGCTACCAAAAGTCACAACATGAATAAAGGAAAAATCCTTGATTTGTTGTAGCTGAAGTAAGCTCTGGCCATTGTGCTATTTCTTCGCCTTAGATACTGCAGAAGCTCGAGAAACGATAGGTTCACTGATGGTTTGTCCGTCCTTACCAGGTGTTAAATTCCCACGCAAAGTACCTTTTTGAGTAGAATCAGTCAGGTGCAACTGCAGTTTTAATAATATTAATAATAATAATAATAATTATGCTCTTACAAGTTATAAATAAAAATAAATATGATCATGGTACTAACAGTCGCATAATAAAATTGGATAATAAATAGAAACCTGTATAATATTTCTGTTTATTTCTGACAACAAGAGTAAATAGATACAATTATTCACCGAAGTGGAGGTGGCTAGTCGTATTTATCGAACTGCGAATAGTGCAGGATATTCACTGATTGAGTAGCCAATCAGAGCGCGCGAAAAACACTATCCATTGTTTTAGTATATACTATATATGAAAAAATATAAACAAAATAAAACCTACAGTAGGTAATGTTCCTCATAAATCCCAAATAGGAATGTTTCTAGGGCAGATTTAAAGGACGAGAATGAGTCTGCATTTTTTAGAGAATCGGGAAGAGTATTCCATAATGTAGGTGCACAGAGGAAAACGCACGTTCACCGTATGTCACAGAGTTCACAGTGGGGACAGTAAAAGTGATTTGGAGGATGAACGAAGACTTCGTGGTGGACAATATTCTTGTAACAGGGACGTCAAATAGCTCCCCGGAGTAGCTAGTCAATCGATAAAAATCGGTAGCAATCAAGTGATTTTTATGGATTGATAACGGTAATCGGTGAAAACCGATGAACTGAATTGCTGTGTCAAATCGATATTATCGATTTTTCATGGTTTTAACGATTTGTAACAGAAGTCCGCCATTGTGTTTTTTTGGCACGAGTTAGATAGTACAGCTAAAGAAACTCGTCCACGAGTAACAACTGATCAACAAACCTGCCGGAAAACGAGAAATGTGGAAACTATTAAACACACAACGTTCTCTCTATAACCCTTTATTTTGCATATAATACTAACAAAATCGGTTCGGTTTTTAACCAGTTCTCGCAGGCAAGTATCACGAGAAATACATCCTTAGGTAATCATTAATAAAGATTTCCTAGCCTGAATTTCAGACAGTGCTTCGAGTTGGGATTCAGGCGAAAAGATTTTCTTCGATAGATTTTCACTGTTTCCCGATATCAGTTGATAACAATCACTTGATTGCTAACGAGTTTTATCGATTTCGATTTTCATCTATTGACTACTCCGGGTCCTCCGGGATGTAACTGCACCAGGATCTACACAGACGTTATATTGAAGGGTGGCAATATAAATCCCGAAAAACTGGGCGCCTACAGACCTGGCCAATATCAGCCATCAGAAACCGATTGTAAAACCTGATTTTAAAGTAAAAATATTAATGTTTTTAAAGATTTCTCTATAAGTGATAATGTTTCATAAACAATATAATGTGATAAATGTTTGATCCTTTGACTCTCAACTGCCACTCATTGTCAATAAATTTACTGTTTGCATGAGTTCAGTTTTAAATTTTTGATCAACAGATGTTTCTTCCGATATGCATATATGAAATCAGTAGAAATCAAGATAAATTGGTTAAAAACACTAGTGTGTCATCGATTTCTACCGATTGATCGATACAATCGATATCAACCAAATCAGATTTACCGATTTTCATCGATTTATCGATTGACTACTCCGGGATAGCCCTGAGAAGGTCCGTCAAGAATCTTGAAAGTAATGAGAATAACATTGAATATTTTATGTGATTCAACTGGCAGTCAGAGTAGCTCATGAAGAGCAGGTGTGATGTGTTCATGTTGTTTAGTTCCAGTAATAAGACGTGCTGCAGTGTTTTGAATTCTTTTAAGTTTGTCAGGGTCTTGTTCAAGAAGACCATAACGGATACTGTTACAGAAATCCAAACGTGAAAGAGTATTGACTAACAGTTTTGAAGTTTCCGTTAGTGAGGTATTTGCGAATGCGCCCTATGAACCTTATGGCATTGACGGCTTTTCTGCATGTCTCGTTTATGCAGTTTGCCAGTGTTAGGTTTTTGTCTAATCTCCAAGATGACGAACTCTATCAGTTTGTTCAGTGACGGTACTGTTATTGTTAGCAATGAATTAATAAAAGCCGAAATTAAGAACGTCGTAAAAATGAATGCCACCTTTTGAAATAAGAAAATTCCCAATACAGTGCAGTGGAACCCGGTTAATACAAACACCAAGGGAACATGCAATACTACCCGTATTATTCTGGTGTCCGTATTAAGGGGGCATTCAGAATAAAAGTGTCATGGATTCATGTTTTATCGATATAGAGACTAAAGCAGACATTTTTACGAGAAGACGTTATTTCATTTCATGCCAGTAATGGTAACAAGTTAATAGTAAAGAAACTTCACGATCAGTTATCATAGTCTCGGACTAAAACTACTTCTTTGACTGATCAACAGTTGAATCTTTGACTTAAAGTTGTACTGACACTTTTCGTTTGCGTCTAGGTGGACTGAACATAAGAGAGAACTTTTAAAGGTAATTCGCTGTTTCTATAATAGGTTTTCACCGGTAAGATATTCGGTCATGGACAGCGCGCAGATAGACAGTATCCATAGAGCGGGTTTTAAAATATATGAGACCTGTGACACAGAGGAAAGTGTCCGTTGTCCGTATTAAGCTGGTTAATTTTGAATTGCAGACAGCATGATGATACAGGTAAATGTTGTGTAGTGTAGCCCTTTTTACATCGCAAATGGTGGGAGAAAAAATCAATTCCCACAGATTCCTTGTATTAAGGCTTACCTTCATTGTCGTTTGATATTCTAACTTTGAAAATATATGCTCATATTAAATGCTCTGTTGCACAATCTGTGCTCTTTTGCTACGCGGTATTACATTAATATGTGCCCTTTATTCTCTCTTCGCCGCTATATACCTCCATAATCACCCACAAACTGCCTCCATCTGACTATCAGGCCTTGTAGCTAAGTCGACATATCAACCGAGTTCGTCTAGTCCGGATTTTTTTCTTTAGTTTTCTTTCTCTGGTTCCCTAGATTCCCTGTACATGGATTAAAGCTGACTGGAAATTTCGGGGATGATCTCTAGCTCTAGCTACTCAGAGTTAATCCTGTCTTCCACAAATTGTCATTCCTGCATGAAGGAAACAGATTCGATCAATTACCAAATAGCTTACTCAGTCTCCTCACTGTTCAACAAAGTGGTGAGATCAGTAGCCGACTTTGTAAGAAAAAAAGAGCGCTGAGCCACCGTTTGATCGCGGGATATTTCTATGTAGTAATTGAACACTCAGGAGCCCGATGGAGATGATGCGTGCCCAAGTTCAAACCAGTCGAACAGTTGTAAACGCTTGAAGTAGTTTCCCAAAGAAATCGTAAGAACTGAATTAACCAAAACTTATACAGGGGTCCAGTGAGACTTGAATGTTAATTCGAAAAGCGACAGAGAACCAAAAGAAACTCATGCAGGGAACCTTAACGAGATGAAAGCCGAGATCAGTGCATTATAATCTGCAGTGTAGACGTATGCTTTCGGGCACCCAAGCGCTCAGTTTTTTCCACCACTGTCGGCATTTTTATTTTAAAAGTAGAAGCAGATT